CTGATGAAAGCACCGTGTGCTGAAACGCGCCCGCAAAATTGGAGTTAATGTAACGACATACTCTTTAGTAAAATAATTTTAATAACCAGTCAACCGAAAAAGCTTCTCAACCTTGGCCTTAACTTATTGTCATTATTTTGAATAGAACACAAGCGCTGTACCTTTATACGTGTATAAAGTTTATTATGTAATATAATGTAATATTATGTAATATAAATATATAATGGATTTCTCTTCTTAATAATATAAATAGAACATGTCTATCAACATGTCTATCAACTTTCTCGACACGACTATCATTAGAAATAACGAAAACCTTTTAACAAACTGGTTCCGTAAACCTACGTTTTCCGGCCGCTATATCAATTTTTACTCCAACCATCCAATTAAATATAAAACTAATATTATAACGAATCTAGTCGACCGAGCCATTTTATTGTCAGACGAGCGGTTTCATGATTCCAATATTGACACAGTTAAAGACATCCTAAAGAACAACTGCTTCCCAGCGCACATTATAGACAAATTTATCAAAAAAAGACTCAAAGAGATAAAATACTGCGAAGTTATACCTAGTTCCAATAAGGAAAAGAATCAGTTCCTACACAACAAGCACATAGTTACAGTTCCTTACATACAGAACATAAGTAACAATATTAAAAATATTTTAAACGATAGAGGTTTCTACACTATATTTACCATCCCTAAGAAACTAAACTGCATCATCAAAACAGGGAAAGATCCTCTCGACAAACTCAATGAAAAAGAATTGATTTACAAAATTGAATGTAAGGATTGTGACGCTTGTTATGTAGGACAAACGAAACGACACCTAAAAACACGTATAAAAGAACATGAAGCCAACATCAAGAGAGAACACAGTGCACACTCAGTGGTCAGCCAACACCGTGAAACTCTACATCATGATTTCAATTGGTTGAACACTAAAATATTACATACGGAGAAACACACAAAGAAACGAGAAATCGCTGAAATGATCTTCATAAAGAAAGAAAACAAGTCTATTAATTTACAGAACGACACGGACAACCTTTCCAAGATATACGACAAGATAATACGAATTTTATAAATATTAACGTCCGTTCGTGCTCTCCTCCTTGTCATTACAGTCTAAACCATGGAAGTGTGCGCTGTGATCGTCTCGAGATACTCTCAGATGTACGGACACATGGATCCTGCTCGTTACTCGAATCCAAAGAACCGAATTAAATAATTGACGAACATTACGTGTGAGTTAGAAAGACATTTTCAATTTATATTCTAAAAGATTATTGGTCCTACAGTTAAGCCAACACAAAAACCTTATAATAGATTCATAAACATTGTGTGCGTTTTACAAAGACATCAAACATATATTGAAAAACTATTTTATAATTATAATGTTATAGATAAGACTTATTGCTGCCACAATAACTTGTTATCCGTAAATGCTCGTCTCTTAAACTAACCTGAAGAGGACTGCGATTGGCAGTCGAAACGTTGTTAATTTGATAAATTAAATATAGCCAGTTATGTCGAAACAATGGATTGATTATAAATAGAACAATTCTTATGTCTTTGTACGTGTAAAGCAATAATATTTAGTGATGATGCTTTTCAAAAGGTATATGAATGCTTGAAGATAAGCAATTATGAAAAATCGTCGAAAATTGACATGGAATCGATCATAACTCGAAAACTATTGACCGCATCTTGTTTTACCTTACACAAAAATGTAGCTCTTTTCATCCTCTTTCGAATCCCTGAGCAACTTTTTGCCGTAGCGGCGCTCCTTAAGGGTGATATGAGGGCCGAAAGTCCAAAAAAGGCGAAAAAATCGTCGAAAATTGACATGGAATCGACTATAACTCGAAAACTATTGACCGCATCTTATTTTAACTTAGACGAAAATGTAGCTCTTTTCATCCTCTTTCGAAGTCAAGAACATCATTTTGCTGTAGGAACACGTTTTCAATGCGAAAAGATGAGTTATTAGTACGTATATGAAGTCTCGTGATTTTGACCTGACAAAAAACTTCAAACGATTTTAGGAACGGTTAAACGTCATTTTAGACCCCAAGTATGTTCTGAAAAGTTGCTTAGAATTAAACAAAGAATCATTTTCCGGCCAGTCCCGTTGAAATTTTTTTTTGACTGGTCGGTCTAAACATCACGTATTATAAAAGAAACCTGTGAGGCTATATGGAATGTTCTACACGTAGAAGAATTATTTACACCAACACAGGACAGATGGCGAGAAATTGCTCACGAGTTTGAAGAAAAATGGAACTTTCCTCACTACGTTGGAGCTTTGAACGGAAAGCTGTTGCTGTAATTGTAAGATTATATTAATATAAGTATTCATATTAACATAAGATATTTTACGGAGGGGGTAAAGATGGCGACGAGGAAAGAGGCTGGTGAAGGAGGGTAGTGAGAAAAGTGTCGAAAGGAAGGTTTAAGGTGGAGTGTGAGGAAGGAGGAGGAAGTGAGAGTGAGAGGAACGGGAGAGGAACCAGGGGACTGGAGGCAAGAAGAACTGGCGGAAGGTGGAAGAGAAATTGATATGGAAAAGGTGAGACGGCATGAGTCGGCGATCTTGGAACAAGGAAGAAGAAGGGGAGAGGGGAGCAGAGGAGCGAGACCAGACACGGAGAGAGAAGAGGATTGGCGGAGAGAAGCGAGAGTTCGAGATCGAGAGAGAAAGGGAGAGAAAGAGAGGAGAGATATCGACGGAGAGGAGGAAGTGAGAAAGAGGATCTCGGACGGGCGAAGAGAGGCGAGTGCGAGTTCGAGCAGTCGAACAAGCGGAAGAGGAGATGGAGGGGGAAGGCGCTCAGGAGTACAGAAGGTGTACGAGAGGGGCAGGTAGTGTAGGAGGCAAAGCGAGCGCTAAGAGTAAGTGAAGGCGAAGGTAGAGGTGAAAAGGAATCGGAGGCAAAAGGTGAAGGAATGGTGGAAGAGAAGAAGACAGAAGGAAGTAAGTAGGAGAGGAGAAGAGCGAGGGAGAGGTGAGAGAGACGGAGAGAGGAGGTAAGAAAGGAAGAAGGGAGAGGTGTCAGGAAAGAGAGGTTTAGGATATAGAAGAAGACCGACGGAAACGCAGGAAGAAACTAAGCTGGTTCTATTTCGATTTTCGGTAATACAGGAAGGAGTCGAAGGCGGAAGGAGGAACGAGGGCAGCGGACGGGGAAGAGCGGAAGGAGAGGAAGGCGAAAGGAGGAACGAGGGCAGCGGACGGGGAAGGGCGGAAGGGGGAGAGAGG